TGCATCTGGGTGACAACTACAGACTGCATCTTTCCTCTTCTCAGAATTCTCCTCCTGTTTTCATTGCCTCGCCTCTACTTCCTGCTTGGCTACTGACCAATCAGCGTTTTATTAAAAATAATACAAGTGACAGGATAAAAGACCATTGTCCCACAGCATTGCCACATCAGCTAACCTGCTCACAGACATTGCTGACAGCTAACCTTAATCTAGGCACTTCCTCACAGAGTTCCTGGAGCCCTGTCTCCTGGGTGAGTCGAGATCCCATCAAGCTGACAATTGTCACTATCACAGACACATGGGTTGTTTCTGCTTGAGGCCATCATGAATAATGCTACGTTGAACACAGGCACGTACCTGCCTCTTCAACATACTGACTTCATTTCCTTTGGATATAGGCCCAGGGCTGGGTCCTCGATCACATGATGGCTTAGGGCCTAGGTTTCTGCGGAGCTGCTGTGATGCTTCCCATGACTAATTTCATACCACCAGTACTGTCCCACATTCCCTCCTTTGTGCCACATCCTGACGGCCATTCTTGTTTTTTCCCTAACAGCCATTCTTATTGGGGTGAGGTGTTGTAGGGTTCTGACTTGCATTTCTCTGACTGTTAGTACCCTGAACTTCTTTCTTATGCACCTGTTAGCCGCTTGCATGCTTCCTTTTCCAGAATCATCCATTTAAGTCCGTGGCCTACTTTTAGAACCAGGTTCTTTGACCACAGAGGGAACAGTGAAGTGTGTTGATTTGGTTGCCTGAGAGCCCCACTCCTTGGACTGCCAAAGACTCTGTGGAACAAGAGCCCCTTGGGATGTGCTTTAACTGGCACAGTAAGGATGGAAGGGTGTTTCATTCTTGCTGATTATGAGGTTTCCTCATTTTGAGGAAGCTTGCCATTCTTTAGTCTCACGAATCTGTTAGCCACAGCTGTGTAAGGAATAACCCTGAGTCTTAGAAGCTTAGGGATATGATTAGTATTCTATAGCTCTTGATCTTAGGAATCTGTGTGCAGCTGTGGAAGGCCGTGGCTCTGTGTCTCTCTGCACTGCACTCAGGTGCGTAAGAACCAAGTACCTGCTTTCAGGTTCACAGTGGTTGGCTGGCCTCATGTCCTGTGCGTTGCTGGCCAGGGACAACAGTTCCCTGTCACATGGTGTTTTGTGTGTGTGTGTGTGTGTGTGTGTGTGTGTGTGTGTGTGTGTGTACAGCTGCTGGAGGAAATGCAGGTTTTATTTGATACAAGCACTCTCCAGCCTGAAGAAACAGATGCATTCAGATGGGTTTGAGTTGGGGGATTCTCTCCCTGATCTTTAGGAAGTTGAGCCGCCTTAGCATCTGCCTGCATAAGGCAGTGGTCCCACTGACACTATTAATATCCAACACAGAGCGACTGCTCCCCTCTGCACCTGGCACAGTTTCAAGTTCTTTTCATGTGTTGATTCTTCTTTCTGAACAGCACCGTACTAGGAAGGGATAGTCCATAAACTCAGAGGCATGGGGGTGAAGTGACTTACCAAACGGACCTGAGGAGAATCGAGTTAGGATGGTACGTGGCAGTGTCTTCGGAACCATCTTGCGCCACGGTATCTTGGCAGGAGATTTAAGCTGGTGCAAACTCATGACTCAGTTTCTGCCACTTTGCTTCACTCTCCTCTCTGGGGATTGGAGGCTACCAGACAGCCACCCTGGCAGACAGAACAATAAGAGTCACCCAATATTTGTCATTGTCAATTATACGCCTGACCTCTGATGTGTTCTCTCCAGGGCAAAAGTGTGTGTCATACCAGTTTTATGTCTCTAGGAAGGATAAAGCCCTATCTGAGACCTATGTTGTTCCCAAGACATATTGTAGACAATTTTTGTTTGGTTTGCAGCTATGTCTGTAGATTACTTAAATGCTCTTTTCTTTTAATATTTATTTTATGTTTATATGTGTGTTCCTGGTGTATGTATGTGCACCTTATGCATACAGCGCCCACATAAGTCAGAAGAGGGGTTAGATCCCCTGGAACTGAAGTTGCAGACAGTTGTGAACTCCTGTGTAGGTGCTAGGAACTGAAACTGGGTCCTCTGCAAGAGAAGTAAGTACTCTTAACTGCTGAGCCATCTCTCTAATCCCTGACACTCTTTTCTTGGTTTGACTTAGTCCTCTGTACACTTGATGTTAGACTTCTGGAAAAAGCATAGTCTATGTTCTCTTTTCCCATTTGTGTGGGTGTTGAGGTCCAATCAAACCATTAAACTTGCTAAGGAAATTGGTAAAATTGCAGCTGCCAAAACAAAGATCCATTTTTCAGCTCAGCGGGGCCCTGACAGGCACCTAAGGACCAGGGAGTTGGTGTATACAGTGGCTCACATACAGAAGCTTTTCGGACAGGCTGGAAACCATTTTTCTACAATGACAGGATGTATATCCAGAGCATGCAATAGCCGACTGCTTCTAAGGCCTGGGACTAGGAACCCTGTGGACTCTCAAGAGATCTCCAACGAGTGTGTGCTTTCTTACTGGTCGGTACCCTCACAGCACACTGTCCACAGGACAGACCCAGGAATCCTAAAGCACATGCTTGACCAACTTACTCGTCTTAAACAGACTCTACATCCAACTTCAAGCTCTTTATAGTCTCCCAGTACTCTCAAGTTAAGACATTGCAAAATCCACCTCTAAGCGTGACCCCTCCGGGTTTGCTCTTCAATCTGTGCGGCAGCTATGTTGGCCTTTTTCTGGGTTCCTTGTATTCTTCCAGCACCACAGGGCCTTTCCTTCTCTGGGTAGATCTCTTTCTTCCTTCCTCTGATCCACTCATCCTGATCCCCAGTGCTGCATCCTGGGGTTGTAGTTCCCTCCCCGGTGCCAATCAACCCTCCCTGTGCTGCTCCTCTAGTATTTGCCCATGCTTTGTATGACATGCTCAACACAATGGGCTGGTAACATTTCCTGAGGCTGACTGATTGATGTGGGGTGTGAGGACAGGACCATGTCTCCCTGCTTCCTACTGTAGGCCATGTTTTCACAGGACTTCATTCATCCTTGCCACATCAAAACCTTGCATCTCTTCACGTCCCTAAACAATGATCCATAGTGTTGTCATTTTATATTAGCTAGCCACACAAGTCTGAGGGCCTGAGTCTGAATTCCCAGAACCTATAAAAGGCTGGATATGACAGCAGGTATCATAATGCCAATGCTCCTATGGTGAGATGGGAGGAAGAGACTGGAGAATTCCTGGAAGTGCAAAGGCCAGCTAACCTGGTGTACTGAGAGGCCCACATCCCAGCATGTTATTTGACCTCCATATGCATGCCATAGTACACACATGCCCACTCACACACAAAGATTAACGTTGACTTTAAGAGGTAGAAAGGGTGGCCCACACAGGTTTTTACTGCCTTTCAGACCAGGCCTCCAGCCAACAAACAGCCAAGAGGAAGCAGCAGATATCGGCAGACCCAACAGGGAACATCTGCAATAAGACAGAGCCATCCAAGCAGCCTGAAATAAAAGTCACAAGATAAATTCTCTTATTTTAGGTTGATAGGACATCGGTTCATGCAACATGGGCAAAAATAAATGCTGCTGTTTTAATGAGCACTTTTCTGGCTCCCAGAAAGGGCATGTCACCTCTCTTTGTTCAAAAGGGTTGGTTAATATTCTACCACAAATCTCATTAAAATGTAGGTGTTTCATGTTGGATATGAACTTGGTGGTGAGGAAGTCTATTTCTGGAAAGCTTTTCATTCTCTCTCTAATAAGAGTATTTATTTTTGTCAGGATAGCAGCAAAGTTCATCCCTCAGGTGGGGAGTGGCTGGACCTACTAGTTTCAAGCAACCTCAAATTAGGTGCACTTGTTCATTTACCTAATCTCTGACAATCTCTGAGCGATGAGATGCAATTTGTATTTTGCAGTCTTACAGGACATAGGTAAATCTTTACACACATTTAAAATATTTCAGTGTTACCTAACGAGATGGACAATTGTGAATGCACATAAGACACCAAACAAATATTAACTGGCCCTTGTGTTTTTACAACACCTTCACCTGCTGTAGGGCTTCTCTCTCACAGCAGGACCCAGCTCCTGCTTTAGTGAGTGTAGGGAGTTAGTTGTTGAGGAAGGTAAAGGTATAAGCAAGCAGCCGGACAAGGAAAAGTTCATATATAGGGGTGTTTGGTCGGTTAGTTTGTTAAAAGTGAGAAATGGGCAACAGCTAATATAGTCCAGAAAAAAATAATCTGGAAAAAGTAGACAGGTGTAAATAATGAATTCTTGCAGTCAAAAGATTTAGCTGCAAAGAATTTCTTGGCACTTGGAAAACATAGAAACAGGGAAAATTAAAAAATATGTATTTGTCCGCCTCGCTACGTCTCGCTGTAGCTCGGACGAATTTGCCCTCTTCAAGATTTCAGCGCAGCACAACGGGTACAAGAGCAAGCAGCGAGCGGGCCACCTAAGCACGTTCAGCTCAGCGGCTGGACCCACGCGCCCGAGGCCGCGCACGGCGCCTGCGCGCCCAGTCGTCACGTGGCGGCGCTCCGCGCTGAGCGGGTTAAAAGTCACGGCCGCCGAGCACCCGGCGGGGTGGTGCTCTCTGCAACGCTTCTGCCGACTGGGACGCGGAACCGTCTCCTGCTCCTCGGGTCGGGATCCACGCGGGGAAGCAAGCCGAACCTCCAGGCACCCTCCCGCGGGGCCCCGAGCAAGCCGGCGCGCGAAACCGCGTCTTTCAACTGACAATGAAATCGTAGCCACCTCCGGTGGCGAATAAGCGCGAGGCCGCGAGGGGGACGGAAGGCGGGCCACTCCGCCGAAGCCCCGCCCAGAGCCCCGCTCGTGCTCCTATTGGCGCATGCCGTCGTTCTGGCCCCGCCCCTTAACGGACCTGTCGCTCTGTGACAGGCGGAGGGGCCAGTTCCTGTTGGGCGAGGGGGCGGAGTCAGAGGTGTCTTGAGCTCCGCCCGAACTCCAGGGGGCTCCTCCCCCTTTGTGCTCCTCACGGCGGGGCGGGCGTGAGGAGGGGAATGTCATTGCCGCTCGGAGCCGCCGCTCCTCTGGCGCCCTCGTCCCGTCGGCTCTCGCCGCCGCCGCCTCCTCAGCCGCACGGGGGACACGGATGGCTAGTGGGGCGCAGGGGCCTTCTGGGTTGAGACCGCGGCGGTCGCGGCCGCTGCCGAGGCAGAGACTCCGGATCGCCGCCGCCGCCGCCTCCTCCACCCCCAGTGTCCCGGCCTCGCGGTGTTGAGGGCGGGAGCGCGCCCAGCTCTCCCTCCGCCTCCGCCTCCTCCTCCTCGTTGTCGTCGCCGTCGCCCTCCTCCTCCTCCTCCTCCTCTGGGTCTCCGCCCAGCACCCCTCGCTCCAGGCGGCGGCGGTGGCCGCGGAGGACGAGCGAGACCCGCCGCCGGGGCACAACATGGCGGAGCCCTCGGCCCCGGAGAGCAAGCACAAGTCGTCCCTCAACTCGTCCCCGTGGAGCGGCCTCATGGCTCTGGGGAACAGCCGCCACGGGCACCACGGGCCC